TTTTTTACCCAGTCATTTAAAAATAACACATTTTAGAGCTGTCACAAAAATACCGTGAAACCGTGATGCTTAAACGGAACATGCTTAAGGTTATCATACCGTCAAAATCTCATACCGGCCCATGCCTAGATGCGAGCATTGAGAGTTGTTTTGAAATTGGATCATAAATCCCAGAATCAATATCTAATCAAATGTTGTTTTTGTTTTATTATTATTATTATATATTTTTTAAATTTAAATAATGTAAAAAAATATATAAATTTTTGTATATATACATTTATATATATTTTTTTTACAATTTTACAGTAGTCTCCTTTAATTGATTACTTAATCTTATGATCTGTTGCTGTGTGTTTGTCAACAGTAAGTGACAACTGATTGTAGAAGTATCTAAGCAAAGCTTTTAATGTCAAATTAATTAATTACACTTTATTTTGATAGTCCACTTTAGACATTCTACTAACAATAAGTACATTTGCAACTACATGTCAATGTAAAAGTGACTTATAGACAGCAGAATGTCTAAAGTGGACTATCAAAATAAAGAGTACACACTGCAAAAAATGCTTTTCTTACTTAAGAGTTTTTGTCTTGTTTCTAGTCCAAATATCGAAAAATTCTTAAATCAAGAAGCATTTTCTAGACAAGTAAAAACTATTGTCTTGTTTTCAGAAAAAATAAGTCAAAATTAAATGAGTTTTACCTTAAAACAAGCAAAATAATCTGCCAATGGGGTAAGCATAATAATCTTGTTTTTTAGTTTGAAATAATGCTTCTTGATTTAAGAATTTTTCGATATTTGGACTAAACAAGACAAAACGCTAAGTAAGAAAAGCATTTTTTTGCAGTGTAAATTAATCCACAAAACTGCCAATTTTGTTACCTTTCTGAAGGTATAATTATTTACCATGATAATCTGAATTAATCAATTAATTTAGCTTGAGATGGCACAATGCAATATATAAACTTTGTAAAAATTTATACTTATTTATAAAACTTACCGTAAAATTACCTTAAGTGGAAAAAGTCTTTTTCATAGAATGGCCGATGAAAATGTAAATCTGCATACTTGATATCAATGTCAAACATGTCAGTCTGCTGAGCCAGAGCTATACATCTGCACTTTCTCTGTCACCACGGATACAAACCAGATCCCACACGCACACTTTCATGTGGCCGAGGCTTAACGAGCAGGCTAATAAAGTGAATGAAACACTTCCCCAAACAAACCTGCCTCTTAAGAGTTCACCACCAATTACCGCTATCTAATGTCAGTGGGCATTAACTGCAGAGATCTTATCGGCACTGTAAACACACATTGGCAGCGTTGAGCAAAAACACACACACACACACACTGAAGTCTCTGATTTGGATTTGAGTGCTCATATGTAGTGGGGTATTTTGTAGATACTTACGGCAATAATGTCCAGAGTGTTGTCACAAACCTGCCGGATCTCCACATTTTTGTCGTGCATAAGGTCGATGAGGTAGGCTGGGGCCTCTTTGAGATACGGTTAAGGAGTTCACAATTCATTGACAATTAAAGCCTAATAATCGCAGCGTCTCAATTACCATTATTACAAGTTTCAGTCAGTGAAAAATCTTCCCATCTACATCAAAGAGAAAAGTCTTGATATTTGTGACCCTGAACCACAAAACCAGTCGCACAATTTTTTTAAATTGAGATTTATACGTTATTATAAATGACATTAATATTTATACACACATCTCAAAGCTGAATAAATAAGCTTTCCATTGGTGTATGGTTTGTTAGGATAGGACAATATTTGGCAGAGATACAACTATTTGAAAATCTGGAATCTGAGGGTGCAAAAATCAAAATATTCAGAAAATCGCCTTTAAAATTGTCCAAATGAAGTTCTTAGCAATGCATATTACTAATCAAAAATTAAGTTTTGATATATTTACAGTAGGAAATTTACAAAATATCTTTATAGAACATGATCTTTACTTAATGTCCTAATGATTTTTGGCATAAAAGAAAAATCTATAATTTTGACCCATACAATGTATTTTTGGCTATTGTTACTATATACCCCAGCGACTTAAGATCGGTTTTGTGGTCCAGGGTCACATTTTATCATGCCATGTAAAAACCTGCAAACTTTTACATTTTATTTTAGCCAGTGATTCCTAGTGCACAGTCTTCATTCTTAAATATTTAGAATGTGCACTTAAGTGTATCAATGCAGTGATAGAATTATTCATATTATTAATAATTATTATTCATTAGACAATATTTAGCATTATTAATGTAGAGAAGTAGTTTGCCGTTATTAACAATAAAGCCACACATGGACCCATTTTGGCCATCCTTGCCATAGAATTAATTATTTATTAAAAAGAAAGAACAACCGAGTATGAGGGTGTGAACAGCTCAACAGCTCAGTGTAAAATTGCCATATGATTACAATAATTTCAACCAAAATCTGGCAAATATCTTGTATTGGAGCTGCCTGAAGTCTTCAATTTTGTGGTCTCGGCAATTTTTTGACTTTGTAAAACCACATAAAAATGGCATTGTCTGCATTTGAGTCCCACTGGTCTGGTCTTAGGCAGTCTGATATTGGTCTGGATGTATGTCTACCCCAGAGGCATTAGAGTATTGTACTGTAAAATGTCTTGTCATGAAACCTTTAAAAAGTGCTTTGTGGTGTAACTTCAAAAATAGCATTTAATATGTCTGAATCAATCGAACTACATTAGGTCGGACTACATTAGTCCATTTTTTGGATCAGATCAAGTATAAATAGATCCATAGGGTAACAATTATATCCTGCCACTTTTTACAGTGCAGTCAAACTCAGGTTTTTTTTCTCCTTCTGTCTAGATGTGAAAATAATCAATACTGCAGCTAAATGCAAGAACAAATTAAGACTGAAGAGCCCAACAGTATCAACGCAGCAGTGAACACAGGACCATTTACAAAACATCTGCACCGATAAACATGCCTATACACGGAAAATCAATTTATTATAACAAGGATACGAGTGTCCTTAATGATGACATCTCTGGTGGCCTGGTGGAAGACCATCTGGTAGAAAACGTAGATGATCTGACACACAAATTCATCGTCTTCCTGTTGGGCTGATAACAGCAACACAAACAGATGAAGAACATTACTTTGACCTCACGAAATAAAGCATTTTGCTTCGTATGAAGGATTGGATCAATAATGTTTCCTCACAGACATATTATTATATGAAGGCACAAACGTTTCCTTATCACGAGAATATCTGCACGTCAGCATTAAGCTGTAAAGCGATACGGCAAACCAACAAACACGAACACTCCAGTGCAGCTGCGCAGGCATTTCCTATCCGATGGAGCCTGTTCATGTGAGCTGATGTTCAAAACCTCCTCCGGTGGATCATGTTTATGTATGAAGGCTCTCGTGAGAAGCCACCATTTGGGGAGAGTATCAACTTTTCCTCTGAAATGATACAGAAAGCTCCTATGGAGAACTGTGCGGTTGTAGCTGCCCCCTCCTAACTTTAATAAAAGCCTTTATTTCAATTTTGATCTGGCTCAGAATGCTCTCGTCCCCTGGGATCGAAATTCCTCCAGAAGAATGATAGCAAAGAGGCTAGCTGCTCCATGGGACCAGAAACTGAATACCGCTACCGCAAGGAGCTGTACAAGCTTTGCACAAGCTACAAATAACATCACAGAGAACATGTCAGCACCTCTTCAGATGAGAAAGAGCCAATGAATGAGTATACGAACACAAGTGCTGAAACGTTATGTATAAATAAAACAATACCCAAGCATCTGTCAATGCGGCGTTGCCACATAATGCTTATCGCGGGGAAAACAAATGTCAGATTTGTTACTGCATTGTTGTGATCAAAGTTATAAAATATTATATGGCATGTAGTGCAAAAACATTTCAGATGTTGAATTTCATGTAATTGTGTCTGGAGTGGGAAAAAAGTGGCCAATTCAAAAGAAACAAGTTTCTTTTCTTTTTCTCTTTGAGAGGAGCTGTATATGTTGGGACGGTTGCTATCTTGGCCCTCCACCTCCTTGGCCCCTTAAACACGTATTCTTTTCATGGCAAGGAAGAGCCCCGCCATCAGGCATTTATTGATTTGAGGGCTCACATTGAGCAGAACCAGCAAATCTGATGCATGCCATCCATGAACCTGGTGCTTTCCTGTTCCTGAAAACACTGTCACTTCCCAGCACATAATGCATAAAGCGAGAACCGGCCCTCTGTGTCCCACGCAGCCATGGGCTGTTTATTTATTCTAATTTAATATTAGTTTAGTCTAAATAAACTCGTTTCATCAGATCACATTAGGGAAGACAAAGCATGCCAAATTGAAATCTGGTACTTGAGTGGCTACAGACACGCAAAGCAGGGGGGCAGCTGTTGTGATTCAGCCAAACAAAAGCAGAAATCAAAACAGCACTGATCTGATTTATTTTTATGGCTAGCGATAATGAAAAATATTTTATGTTGAGAGGGTTTGGAGATGCGTTTGTTTCTTTAAGCACTTATCCTCAATGCTAATGAATGTGTGTAAATGTTGGCAGCGCGCTTACCATTCAGCAGCTCAATAAGAGATTTTGTGTCGAGAGGGTTTGGAGATCTGTTTGTTTCTTTAAGCACTCGTGCTCTGGCTCAATGCTAATAAATGTGTGTAAGTGTTGGCAGCGCACTTACCATTTAGCAGCTCAATAAGAGCAGGAATGATGCCAGACTTAGCCAGCATGACGGCACAGGAGTCGTCCATTGACACCGTACCGATCATGATCACCACCTCCAGGATCAGGTCATCCTCTGCTGAGCCTGAAACACAGAGGTCAAAGGTCAAATCTGGTTAAGCATAATGCAAAATGTTTTTTCATACTACTCCAATAAGAAATGCCAATGGATGACTTACTACCTTTGGAAAAATGTGTTTGTTAATTTGTTTCATTTAACTGTAACAAATAAATGAGGTTGATGTCAAAAGTTGGGCTGTTTTTACCCAAAATTGGATTACAAGAGAAACAAATTGGCAATATTTATTTTGGGATTAAAAATGGACATCTCTCATAAATGTGAGGTAATGTGATGTAGCACATTGTACTACACTGCAGATTAATATGTTAAGGTTTCATACTGGATATTGTTTCACAAACAACCTTAACAAAATAGGATGTAGTTTAAAGTTTATGAATACTTGATATTAAATAATTATGGAAATTTGAAATTGGTCATTTGAAATACTCCATCTAAAACTTTTAAACAGCATTCTGAAAATGTTGACACAGTTTTGTGAGTTCATAGTAGTTAGGAGACTACACAGACTATTTGTATTTCTTTAAAAAATTGTGTCACACACAGGACCTTTTAATGAACAGGCAAAAGGTGATGAAAATTACGAAAAACTTGTAAAGTCTGTGATCTAACATCCTGATGTCAATAAAAAAGGCACATTATGTGTCAACTACTCATTAGGGTTGTGACAGTGAGGACATTTTCCCACCGGTTAATCGACGTGTGACAACACCGATAATACCTGTATCACCATGGGGGCAGGGGCGTTCCCTCTTTTCCTCGATTTCCTTCGCTTTTAAATAGCTTGCAAAAGCGGCGTGCGCATTTTACTTTCACTTTCAAATAGCGGCAATTTGGCGTCAATTGCTTGAATGCAACAACAAAATACAACGTCAAACTCACTTTAGCGTGTATATAAAACATAGAACTTTTATTAACAAAACGAATAAAAATACACCATGCTATAGGGAAGGCTATGCCTAATATAAAATAACTTATATAAAGTTTAAATAGGTATACAAAACTGGAAATAGGCTAAGTAAACATGTATAAGAAACGTAGAACGTTTATTAGCAAAACGAGTAAGAAAGCTTGGAGGCAGGGCATACACCTTGATGTCAAATAAAATAAATAAATGACACAAAGTTTAAATAAAGTAAAAATCAGCAAACAATGTGGAACCAATTAAATAAGAAACGAATTTTTAAAAAAACTTCCAAAATCACCTTAAACGGCAAAAGTCAACAGGCTTTTCAAAATCCAAAATACTGCCAAACAGGCGCTTTGCATTTAGTTTCGAAACTAAATCATCCGTGATCGTCTTGTCTGTCTCACCCCACTCTTCTTGTCAGTCAGCTCGACTCACTCTCCTCACTGGATAAATGAAATCTGATCTGTGATGCGACTGTCGTTCGGCACGCTGCATTGAGCAGCCGCGTTCAGTTTTTAATTGTAGTGTCTGTTCTTTTACTGAACTAAATGATTTTTATTACTATACAAAAATCTAAACAACGGCAGGGGTCGGTGCCGCGGTGGGCAAATGACGTAACCGGTGTTGCGGCTTAACAACGGTATCACCGTCAGCACCGTCTTTCACGGCAAGCCTACTACTCATACGGTGTAGCATTGTACTGTATGTAGCAGGCTGTATATTAGCTTTACATTACAAATATACCCTGAAACACCTAGACAAACAGGTACAGGTTAGCTTTACCGGGTTTGAGGTGGTCTTTGAGGTAGGGCACCAGGTTGTACTCTTTCAGCAGGAGCTCCCAGTCCAGGTCAGGTATGGTGAGGTTTGCCATTGTACCCAAGCACTCAATAACAAACTCTTCATCACCCTCCTGTTTGATCTGAGCAGCCAGATAACCCACATAGTCCTGAAGGGTAAATGACAAAATATCTTTAGGTGTTCATTTAGCACAGTAATTCCCAACCTGTAAAATACTTAAGATTTCAATTTTGCTTCATGAAATTACAAATTAAAAAATATTTGGGCTATTAAATATATAAAAGAATAATAAGATAATAATAATAACAATAACGTTTTTAAAATGTAATCTGTAATATTTTTTAATTATTATAATTTACCGCTCACACTATGTATTGTTTTTAGCTTAAAAGTGAATGATTAAAAGTGAAAGTCAATAAACAATGCTAAATGATGCTTTGATGTTTTAAATGTTTATAATGTGTAACTTGTGACTCTTAATAGAATGGCAGAATATTGTATTTACAATGAAGAGCTGTTTCAGAGGTCCATCGTGCTGTGAGATGTTCCTGATCATTTTCATCAGCAGCGGGTCCTTCAGTTTGAGTGCTCTTTTCATCAGCATCTTCAATCCATTACCTGCAGAGCAAATACATAAATAACCATGTTCAGCCAGAGACTGATCATAAGTTTGAGCAGATTTCATGTATTATTTATTACAGAAGAGCAACAGCTGTTGCTGATGTGTGGCAGTATGCTTTATGACATGTAAACACAGATGTTTTGACAGTGTTGCTCAGCACTGCATGTTATTCCAGGAGAAATTACATTCCGGCTCTTACCCTCACAGATAATCTGAGCGTTAGTCTTATTAGCAGCCAGGTTGATGCAGAAGGAAATGAGCTCGGTGTCGATTCTCTCTTCGCCATGTTCAAAGACCATTTGCATGAGCTGCTCACACACAGAAACAAACAGAAAAAAATCAGAAACTCTGAGGTTTTCCAAACTTTCTTTACTGCTGCAAACAGGGCACCAAAAATGTGCATTGACAGAGTTTGTACGTTTTACAGAGGCAACAGCAAATTTATTTAAACTAAAATATCACAACTGCAGGAAACTGTGTACTACATGCTTGAAGGCTCACACTGATTAACATGATGGCATATTTAGCACAACTTTTAGACCGGTTTAGTCCTTTCAGTTCACTTATACCGCATGCCATGCTTCAGGTTCACCTATTAACTATTGTAAGAATCAGGACATCAATATCTAAGCATAATTTTTATGATGATTATTATTTATATTAAGAGTTGTAGTGCTATTATTTTTTTGTTACAATTAAATTTTAATTGCAATTTTAAAAAATCACTAATAATACTATTATTAGTACTATATTATAATATATTACTATATTATTACTATTATAGTACTATTTAATAACAATAATGAAAAAACAACAATAACAACAACAACCACCTTAATCTGGGCTGACACCTGTCTGACAGACAAGTACATTGAAAAACTTAATCTAATGGGAAGCCTGGAATAGTTTTTCAGATCAGGACGCATTTGTGGTTTCCAAATGTCCTCAGAGAGTGATATCACAATGGCCCTAATGAAGCACATTTCAAAACTGAGGAGCATTGCATGTGGAGTATCGTGGAACAATCAGAGGGAAAACAAAAGAAAAGAAATAAATGATGAAAGAGGCAGTTCCTGACAGGGAGAAGTATTAGTGCTGTCAGTGTTGGCGAAAGGATTGCTATTTGTGTTTTTATTCAAAAGCCAGAGAGAGTTGAGAAAATATCCCACAGTCCGCTTCAATCAGGTCAATGCTGCAGCTGATAACAGCCCAAAGAGAGAGACTTGGCAGACCTATCTTAAGGAGATAACTGGCCACTGGCCAATGGATTCAGCATGTGTGGGTAAAAAGAGGGATAAGGAGATGAACAGATGAAGAGAGAGGAGCTCCATAGGCCGCAATGGGCACGGGCCATGGTGTGGGCCAGTTGGATGTTGAACAGGAAGAAACAAACAGACCAACGCATGCCTGTGAAGAAGCAGCAGTGAGCAATCAGGAATTTCCCATATTGAGTATCACATAACCTGGTCCCAGGCCTCCAAATCACGCAGTCTAGACTCACTGGCACCTGCTTGCTCCTATTTACCAGCAATGGGAGGCCCTGCCTCGTACCCCTGAGTCATCCCCTCCCTCCCACCTCCGTCTCTGAGCTCTCCATGGTTTCATAGCTCCATAAGCCCTGCAAGCATTTCCTCACACACACACACACACACACCTCACAGCTTTGAGTAATTATAGCGAGACCCCTTTGTGGAAGAGGAATGGGTCCAATGCCGGGCCTCTTCTCGCCAGTTCAGAACCCAGAGCAGCGAGGCTGTTTGATCTAAATCCGAAATCCTCCCTTACAGAAGAGGGTCCAGTCTAACTGCCAGCACAGACCTGAGGGACCCCAGATCCACAGACACAAATGGACACACAGATGAAGCTACTAGTGAAGAGTCAGGGAAGTCTTCAAAATAAGAAAGAAAAAGAAAGGACAAAAAAACAACAACAAAAGAACGAATGAAAGAATGAACAAATGAATAAACAACTCTAAGAAATAACGAATAAACAAACGCAAGAACCCAAGAACAAAAGAATGAACAAAATAACAAAGGAAAGAAAACAAGAACAGAAAAAGAAAGAAAGAATGAATGAATAAACAAACGCAAGAATGAAAGAACCAAAGAAAAAGAACAAAAGCATGAACAATTGAAAGACAGAACAAATGAAAGAAAGAAATAAAGAACAAATGTATTAAAGAAAGAAACAATGAAAGAATGAATAAACAAACAAAAAAGAATGTATAAAAAAAATGAAAGAACAAATAAACAAATGAGTATTAAAAGAAAGAAAGAAAGAAAGAAAGAAAGAAAACCATTGCATACCTCCCAAAGGAGTCCCACAGCTATTCTGACATCATGCCCTGACTGTCTCCAGGCGGATTGGCAGAATGATTAGGTTGAGGAATTTAACTTTTTTTTTTTTTAACAAGCATCTGGTAGACATTATCAGCCAATTAGAGAAGACAAGCATTTTAAAGATGACAACACTCGAGCGAAAGAATGAATGAATAAACAAACGCAAGAATGAAAGAACCAAAGAAAAAGAACAAAAGCATGAACAATTGAAAGACAGAACAAATGAAAGAAAGAAATAAAGAACAAATGTATTAAAGAAAGAAACAATGAAAGAATGAATAAACAAACAAAAAAGAATGTATAAAAAAAATGAAAGAACAAATAAACAAATGAGTATTAAAAGAAAGAAAGAAAGAAAGAAAGAAAGAAAACCATTGCATACCTCCCAAAGGAGTCCCACAGCTATTCTGACATCATGCCCTGACTGTCTCCAGGCGGATTGGCAGAATGATTAGGTTGAGGAATTTAACTTTTTTTTTTTTTAACAAGCATCTGGTAGACATTATCAGCCAATTAGAGAAGACAAGCATTTTAAAGATGACAACACTCGAGCAGAAGTTGTTTCAGAGAAATTGTACCCAGGCAATTGCTGGTGACCCCACAGAGGCCCCCCTCCCATTAAATTAGCTCTGTTATCTCATTAACGCCATGTGAGAGAAAGACAGTGCTGCAATTAGCCCACTTTACAGCATAAGGTGAGGTGCACACATGATACAGTACATACCTGGCACACCACAGCAGCAAAAACATGTTCGAAATAACATAGTACAAAATACCTTTTAGTACTTGTGCAGTACAATATATATATATATATATATATATATATATACACA